TTTTATCAGACATTTAGTGAAGACTTAATATCCACCCTCCTTAAAGTTTTCCAAAAAGGAGAAGAGGAGGGAATACTCTCAAACTCATTCTATGAAGCCAACATCACTCTAATACCAAAACCAGGCAAAGACACCACAATATAAGAAAATTACAGACCAATATCCCTGATGAACATAGATGCAAAAATACTCAACAAAATATAAGCAAACCAAATTCAAAAATACATCAAAAAGATCATCCATCATGATTAAGTGGAATTCATCCCAGAGATGCAAGGATAGTACAACATTCAAAAATCCGTCAACATTGAATATATCATCCTAAAAATAATTCCATGAATAAGATACTATTATTAATCTCATCCTACAGATGAATGAAACAGTATTAGCAATGCCATTTTCCAGATGAAGAAATTGGAGTGAAGTTAAATATGACTTTTCCAAGGTCACACAACTGTTAAGTGATAGCAGATTTAAATACCAGCTTTTGTAATTCCAAAGCCCATACCCTTAATCACTGTGCACAGTCAAGGTACTGAATGAACAGGCATTTGCCCCACTATATTTTGTTTGGTGTCACTCCCTGCTCCATCCTCAAATACCATGAGTCTCAGCCGTTGGCCGTCCCTGGAATGGCAGTTGGGTGTGATGGCTTAGCAGCTATAGCCATTCAAGGCAGCTCTTTGGGAGAAGTACTTGGAATAAAGTACTTTTCCCTATTTGGAAGAAGTACTTACTTGGGTATCAAGGGAAACCTCTTTTAAGAGGCTTGCATCCAGAAAGCAGACAACTTTCCTGGTTTAGAATCACCAAAAGTTATTAATAGTCCCTTTCTCCTCCTGTAAATTCCAGGTAGTGATGTCATGTTGGAGATTATTCTCAACTGGCAACCCTATTCCAAACTTCTTTGCCTTGACCATCTGAGCTCTCTGAGTTCTGTCTTTGGGAGACTTCCCCTTCTTGAGTTCTGCTTCTCTCACAAGTCAGAGTGGTAACAGTTACTGAGCAGCAAATGAAGAAAGAAAGCAGTAAATGCAGGAGAAATCTCCTGGACTAGGACCCAAAATCTTTTCCACCCTTGAAACATTTTTTGTTATAGCAGAACATGTTCATTCTAGTTGATGTTAAGCTTCTCAAACCATTTCTGTTGTGTCTACTGAAGACTAATAATTCTAATAGACTAGTTTCAGGGCTAGCATCTCTGTCTTCGGGTACTTGAAATGATGACCAAGTAAGTAATGCTTTTAAATGGGGCTGTTATGAATGAACTCACAGGGAAGAGGGCTTCTCTAGAGGTACTTGCCTGCAGCTATGGAGAATGCTCCCTTTCAAAGAGCTATCTGTGCTCCTGGTAGATGGCTATAAGTATACTAACAAGCCCTTTGAGTCTGGTCTACCCTTAGTAAAGAGAATGACCAGATTATCAACAAGAGGAAGTAATCTTGTAAATGAATTCAGGAAATAATTAATAATGACCATATCAGTTCCCTAGGCAGGGAATTGGGTAACACCCAGGCTAGTTTGCACTGATTCTCTATAAATGAGTAGTGTGGTTTAGGTATGACTTCTACTAATAAAACATTCTCTTGGTAGAAATTTATTGCAGTGCATTTTTTTTTTACAACACGAAATTCATAAGAGAATGGCAGAGCACTCTTGATTGATCCAAAGGACCATACTTAAATGCTTTAAAAAAGTAGGTTCCAGAAAACAGAATGTAATATAAGTAATAAACACTTGAGTCTGATCCTGGTCCTTTTATTAGCTGTTACCTTTGAGAAGTTTACTTAACCTCTCTTAGTCTGTTTCCTCTGTAAATGAGGGAGTTTAAATTAAATCTGTGTTTCTCAAATTCTGAAACCTACCACAGATTACCAGAAATAATTTTAGGCAGTTTCCTAATAAAACATTAAAAGAAACATTGAATCATATAATTGAGAAAGTTATTCCTTTCTCAGTCTTTCTGATTATCCCCAAGATAAAGTCTTAATTTGGTATCAAAATATCTTTAATAGTTCTTTAACACTGGATAATTGTTTGGGAGTGGGGGTGGAGCTGGGCAGGGACAGGCACTGTGAATTCTCCATTCTTTAAGAGTTTCTATAGAGGGGAAATTAATTCCATTCCTTTGAAGGGATAAGTACAGAAGTGCTTTTTTGCTCTTTCTGCCAGCCTCATTTCCCTTCCACTGGGAAGGAAAATAGCGCATTATACAAGTCGTGAGCTTGGGTGGAGGAATCAAACATGTCAGGCACAGCTTTCTGGTTTCTATCTTGGTGTGGCGCATTCTCAGAAGGCATGCTCCTCCTCCTTTACCATGTTGTAGGCCTTGGTTGACAAATTCTTCTTAGGACTGAATAGGAACTATTAGAAAACCCATGAGACCATAAATCCAAAACACAATACCACATTTTCCAACTCACTTTTATTGGTAATCAAGCTAATATTTTGATTGCCATTCTGTTGCTCCCTTTGTTTCTCATTTGGTTTAAAACTCATAGGAGATGATGTAAAGGGAAAAGCAATTATCACCTCTTACAATCTCACTAATAATCTCCTTTTTTAATAGAAATCTAGCTTGAGCTAAGAGCCCTTCATAAGCAATAAAATCTATATTAATAACATTAAGAATTTAATAACATGACTTTGTTTTCAGTGAAGTTATAGCCATCAGTAAAATAAATTCTTAAAGTTTTGAAAGTGAATTTTTAAAACATTTAATAGTATACATGGTACATGGTTGTGGTAAAAATTATAAAGGTGGTACATAAATGATGAAAGTTTAGAAAGCACTGAAGGTCACCTCTAAATCTGTTCCAGATTTAAATTATTTTAAATGTGTATTCTAATAAAATATACAATGTTAGGTGGCAAACCAAATAAAAGAAGGTACCTTCCTATAGCAGGTACTGTTATTTTCTGCATTTTGGAATATGTCATTACTGAGGAAGCTGAACTTTTATTCTATGCCAATTTTTTACATATATAAATACCTTTTTATTAATATATTAATAGGCATTAGAGTATTGAGATCTTTTGATAGCATGTTTGTTGGTGATGGTTATTTTTCTGTTTATTTTTCTGTCACTGATAGCAGCCAGTTCTGGGTGAGGTTTTTGATCCTGAAATCTTGGAGGGCAAGAACCATGTCATCACCATACACTCTACCTAGTGCAGTATTTATCACATAGTTGTGTTGAACAAATATTTGATCAAGTCAATGAATGAATAAATGAACAAAATGTATGAATAAAGAATCAAAAAAATAAACTGAGTTCTCTGTCTAAGCTATAGGCATAGTTTCCATTTCTATCTGAAAGCTGTTAATAGGGCTAATTGTAAGGAAGTTGAGGCCTGGGAAAATCAGGGTAATACTTTGGTATATGTGAAATTAGAGACTCATTACACAGAACATTTAGAATAACCTTGTTAGGAAGAAATCACGAAAGGAAGGTAGCCCTACTAATTTGCTTTTTGTTTATGGTCATATATGAGAGGGTAAGGTCTTCCTTTCTTTCTCTTTGTTTTTTGTAAAAGAAGAACTGTCTTCTTACCTTTCTCATTCATGTACTATTTATCTTACATCTCCACACTGGGGAAAGCACCCCAATTTTCCTTGCCTTAGGGAGAATATTAAAGCTTAGTTTAAAATACAGCTCACTTTTTCCCCTCATACTCTTAATTAGTTTTTCATCTTAACCAGCACCCAGGATGAACTGCAATACTGGTGGTAAATTTTTTTATTGCCATTTATTCATGCAATAGATATGCTATTTAAAGGAGTTTGTCTAAGAAGGTTAAAATGAGTTTTACATATCAAAGAGAGAGACTATTAACCAGACATTTATAATTCTTATTTATGCCAACTGACTTTCTAATAACCATGCTGTTGGTTTGAGTGATTACATTCCCAGATCATGTAATTTACTTTAAAACATTTTGTATATATGCAGAAAAACAGAATGTGAGGACTGTGTTTCTTTCTGGTGAATACATTTTAAATGTATTCTAGGTATATTCTCCACAAGTGCATTCTTTCTTTAATGGTCCAGTTATTAACTGTGATTCTAATTCATTATGCAGAATGACAACATCTTAACTAGAGTTATTTTCTATGTTCAGCTTAATATTTTCTGTTAATGAAAATTTAATTCAGTACATTTTATGTTTGTAAAATCTCTCTGCCTGGTATCTTTGTGTCTCCTAGTGACTACTGTGTTATCTTGAATATGTAAAGTAAACTCTGAAGATGCTGACTATCATATTTTGGTGTGTTCTTTTCATTGCATTATAAAACTAATAGAATAGCAGTAACATTAATGATGTGTAGAAGTTGGATTCTGAAACTAATAATCATCTATAAAATTAGCATATTTAAATTAATATCCAGGTAAACAACACATATTCTGTTACTGTAATTGAGAATAATTAAGGTCTATTTTGGTAAAGAAAAAAAGACTTCAGAATTATCTATTTTTTCTTCAAAAGAAATTAAGGAACAATTAATTATTGGCTTATAATTGTAATCTTTAGGTATCTCCAGAGTCATTGTTCTCTGCCATGAAAGTAATGCAAGAGCCATTTGCTATAATGACAAGCTGGGAGTTTTTAGAGCACTTTATTATCTAGTTAAAAAACAATAATTACAAAAAACAGAGCTTTGCCTAGCTGGCTGTGTCCAATGGCAATATGGTTATTCTCTGATTAAATAATTTGAGTACTGGATACCATCCTTATCTGGTTTATGACGTGTTATTATGGCAATGTATTATGAAAGAAAAGAAAAGCACATGGCCTTGAGAAGCAGACCAACCTGAATGTGGAATTTATCTCTGTCACTGTTTGTGCTAGTACCTTGAGCAAGTTACTTAGCTTCCTCTGTACAGCGAAAATTACAGTACTTCTTTAGAGTTGCTGTGAAGATGAAAATGCTCAGAATGAGTTCTTGTTATATGAAGAATGCAGTGTGGTGATGATGTTATGTTTTGATATTCTCTTAGGTGAAGTAAAGGATAAAAATGTTCAGGTGGTTGAGCTCCCCATTGTCGACAGTCTTCACCCTCGTCCTCCGTATTTACCCCTGGCTGTACCAGAGGACCTTGCAGATCGACTTGTACGACTCCATGGTGACCCAGCAGTGTGGTGGGTGTCCCAGTTTGTCAAATACTTGATCCGCCCACAGCCTTGGCTGGAAAAGGAAATAGAAGAGGCCACCAAGAAGCTTGGCTTCAAACATCCAGTTATTGGGTAAGAATCTGATTTGTTCTTCATGAAGTAACATGTAGTAGCAGAAATTCATATCTTTATAATATACTGTGAACTTTACAATATATAGTTTAATTTTCGTAGCCCCACCCCAAAACAGAGGTTCCAGAGTTCACTTTAGGCCACAAGGAGACAATTCTTCCTTGTTTACTTAGACCAGCTGAGTCATCATACTTTGTCACTCTTACTCATTTATTCATTTATTCATTCAACAAATACATTAAATGCATATTTCTGAGATAAGCTGTCTTTCCTGAGGAAACCAGCACTGTTGACACCTGTCTTACCCAGTGCCATGAGATGAAACTGTCACATTAATAGCTTTTCTATTGCTTCATTAATTGACACACTGGTAATTGTTTTGCATTTTGAGGTTCTGTTTTCTTTTCTGTCCTGAAGGCTATTTTGAGAATAGGATATCATTTGTAATGTAAGATAATGTTAAAATTATTATTTAAAATTATCTCTTGGCCCACTTGGGAGTTGTGTACATATATACTCATTCTCATGCTCCTGTTAAGGAGGTATATCAAGAAATCCTGGGAACAAGAAAAATCCTAGAGATCATCTTTGCTCACAAGCATATGTTTCTGTACACATACATAAAAAGTTATGGAAAGAAGAGTTTTCCTGGTCCTAATGCCAGATTTCACACCATGGGAGATATTCTTTGCCTAATGGAAAAAATAGTGGGTTAAGAGTTAAGTTAGCTGGGTAATATTCTCTCTTTTTCCTAATTCTGGGCCAAGTTACTTCATAGTAATATTGGGCTTTCATTATTTTCATCTGTAAAATAAGGAAAGTAATAGCTATCCTAAAAATAATGATGTGAAAATAAAGGATGATAAAAGGATTTTAATTCAGTGGAAAAAATGTCTGCATGATACTATTAGCTTTCAGAGAGGCTGATACTAAAAGTAATTCCCGAAAGTAGACTTACTTATAGGTTAGACTCTAGCATTCTATAGCTGATACTGTTTATAATAAAGTCACCTGTTGATTAATAATATATATGTTGATTCATTCACTTATTTACAGAACATTTATTGAATACCTGCTGCCGTGGGGGACAGAGATTAATTTTTTTTTAATGGCTCCTTCCAGTTCATTACAGTCTGTGGGAAAAGAGATTTACACAACTAACATTATATGAATAGAATATGATTAAATATCCTGAAAGGAGCATAAAAAGTAGAGGTCAGGGAAGGGGAAGTGTACTTCTGTCTGAATCAGGAAAAGCATCACAACTGCAGTGTTTGAACAGGATTTGAAGATGGAGAAAGGTAACAGTATAGTAGTTAAATTACCAAAATACCTTCAACTACATTACCTTTGTTAAAACAATCTTATGAAATGAGCAGAGATAAATATTTTACAGTTGAGGAAACTAAGGAAAGAAAATCTCTGCTCTAAGTTCCAGAGTTAATAAAAGCAAACCCAAGACTTCCTTCTTAACTTTGTTTGGATTTTCTATAGTTCTACATACCAGAAAGCTACCCTTATTAATTCTTCACGGACCATCCACCATATTGAGAATTGGGCAAATATGCAAATAGAAGAACCACAGACAACTAAGTTTATTCATACATTGAGGTAACATGCTGTAATGAAAGAGGAGTACAATAGGATTCAAGAATCTGGGGGTCCCAGCTAGCTTCCACCATGAACAAATTATGACTTTGGGCAACTTATTTGATCATTCTGGGCCTTCATTGATTGCCACTCTTTCCTCATTCATTTAAAAAACCAAAACCAAAACAAAATCTAGATTAGATGGTATCTACGGTAACCTCTAACACTATATTAAACAATTAGATTTTTGTGTCTGCTTGTTATCCATTCATTCATTTATTTGCTGTGGTACATTTGGGAGTAATAAAATCAGATTCCCTATGCCAAAAGAGCTTGATATCTAATAGTGAAAATCAAGCAAGTACACAAGTAACTTTTACTTTTATGGAGACTGGGTGGAAACGTAAGAGAGAAACCATCTCCCTTTGCCTTATGTTGTCTTTTTGTTTTCTGAAATGTCTTCAGAAGCATCAGTTTTCCTAGCTATCAAATTAAAGAGTTACATTAAATTAAGTGACTTCTGATATTCTTCACAGGTCTAACATTCTGATTCTTCCATAGAGATTCCATTATGGTCCTCTCCCAAATTACTGATCCAGGCCTAATTTCAGGGGTACCTGGACAACTGAGAAAATTGTTTAGTAGTACTCTGCCACTGCCTCAAATGCTCCTCTTCCTTCAATCTTCTTTCTGTTATTATAGCTCTCCTTTGTTTTTATTTTTATTTTATTTATCTTCCCTTGTATCTTAGTTTTTATAAATATGAAAGTTACTTTCTTAATGTTAGAGATAGAGAAAATACAATGTGAAATCCGAGTATTAAATAGTGTTTCTTTTCATTAACTTTTCATTGAAATTCAGTGGACTTGTTCTTTCTGTCCCATATCATCTCTATGGAGCATAGTGAATAATTCCCATTTCCTGAGGGAAGCAGTGATTAAGAAGGATGTGGGAAGGAAAAGATGATAGAATAGGTATTCATATGATAGTATTCACATATGGGCTCTAGTTTAGAAGGCAGAGGAAAGAATAGCCATGAAATTGTCAGAATAACTCCAATGAGATCAAACCCTCACTCCAGATTCATAATAAAAACTTGGCCTTCAGCTTGACCTAAGGCATGTCCATATACTATGATCTATAGAAAAGAAATCTACTTTTCTCCTTTTCCCACATATGAATAGTGGTTTAATAGTTCAGGGAGGGGAGATGCAGGAAGGGCAAATTTAAGGGGAGTTTTAATTTATGAAAACAAACTATGACTATTATTATTCTTATTTTCATTAAAATTACTTTGGAGGCACTAAGATAGGAGAAAACTGTGGAAGTCAATGCCTTACTCAGTTCAGGACAATGTAAATCTGTGTTCCCAATTTTACAACTTTGGAGATTTTCTTAAATAGGACAGATAAGATTGTTATCTACTTGTATTTGATAGAGTGAAAAATAGAAAGGAAATTCATTATGCAAACAACAAAACGTCTAAAATGGTGCCATGAACTTAAAATAGTAAGAATCCTTGAAAGGTTTGCTTGCCTCATTTGCACTATAGAAAGAAACCATGAGGATCTGTGTTTTCATCAGACAACTTTATTTGTTTGTTTGTTTGTTTGTTTGTTTATTCTGCACATGACTTTAAATTGTACAAGCTGGCAGTTACAGGGACTATACAGGATGAAATGAAGAAATTGAAAACTTGGCATCAAAACATTACAAATGATATATTTAATGTTCTGTAATAATAACTGTGAGTCTTTAGATCATTTGTCAAAAATCTTGAAAACCATTTCCTGAGGGAAGCAGTGATTAAGAAGGATGTGGGAAGGAAAAGATGATAGAATAGGTATTCATATGATAGTATTCACATATGGGCTCTAGTTTAGAAGGCAGAGGAAAGAATAGCCATGAAATTGTCAGAATAACTCCAATGAGATCAAACCCTCACTCCAGATTCATAATAAAAACTTGGCCTTCAGCTTGACCTAAGGCATGTCCATATACTATGATCTATAGAAAAGAAATCTACTTTTCTCCTTTTCCCACATATGAATAGTGGTTTAATAGTTCAGGGAGGGGAGATGCAGGAAGGGCAAATTTAAGGGGAGTTTTAATTTATGAAAACAAACTATGACTATTATTATTCTTATTTTCATTAAAATTACTTTGGAGGCACTAAGATAGGAGAAAACTGTGGAAGTCAATGCCTTACTCAGTTCAGGACAATGTAAATCTGTGTTCCCAATTTTACAACTTTGGAGATTTTCTTAAATAGGACAGATAAGATTGTTATCTACTTGTATTTGATAGAGTGAAAAATAGAAAGGAAATTCATTATGCAAACAACAAAACGTCTAAAATGGTGCCATGAACTTAAAATAGTAAGAATCCTTGAAAGGTTTGCTTGCCTCATTTGCACTATAGAAAGAAACCATGAGGATCTGTGTTTTCATCAGACAACTTTATTTGTTTGTTTGTTTGTTTGTTTGTTTATTCTGCACATGACTTTAAATTGTACAAGCTGGCAGTTACAGGGACTATACAGGATGAAATGAAGAAATTGAAAACTTGGCATCAAAACATTACAAATGATATATTTAATGTTCTGTAATAATAACTGTGAGTCTTTAGATCATTTGTCAAAAATCTTGAAAGTTATATCCATTTTTTTCTGAAAGGCCGATTGGTATTTTGCTGCCTGGTATATAGAGCATAAGTCTGGAATCTCTTATTTATTTTTGATATACCAATTGCTTTCTGTATAAGAAAGCATTCCTCAAAGACTTCATTTATTTTCTAATTCTTTTTCTGTGTGTTACCATGCAGATATATAAATTATATATTTAGAATATATGTGTTTGAATTTTTTAATTAGTTTTTTTCTAACGCTGAAAGTGAAAGACAAATTGGTTTAAATCGTCCATAATGCCACCATGAACAGGCATATAAAGTTGAGTATCCTAAAAGCACCTAGTGTACCAGAGTATTATCAGCATAATCTGACTTCCTCCCTGTGCCCCTCAGAGTCCATGTCAGACGCACAGACAAAGTGGGAACAGAAGCAGCTTTCCATCCCATTGAGGAATACATGGTGCACGTTGAAGAGCATTTTCAGCTTCTTGCTCGCAGAATGCAAGTGGATAAAAAAAGAGTATATTTGGCCACAGATGATCCTTCTTTGTTAAAGGAGGCAAAAACAAAGTAAGTTTGATGAACTAGTGATTCTAGAATGAGATTCTTTTCAATAGAAAGGGATCCTTAATTCCCATGAGTTGTGCTTCTTGTTATAGTATTATTACTGATTATTGGGTTTCTTAAATTCATACAACTGTATGCCTGTGTGACTGTTCATATAATCAAAGCACATTTGAGGTGCCAGTAGGTATAGATTTCATTCTGAATCCTCTTTTCTTGGCATGTAGGTAGCCACCTTCTCACTATGCACTCACGTGACCTCTTTGTGCACTTGGAAGAGAGAGAGCAAGCTTGCTAGTGCCTCTTCTTATCAGGGTACTAATTCCATCATGAAGTCCCCACCTTCGTGCCCTTATTTAACCCTAATAATCTGTGAAAGCTCCCATCTCCAAATACCATCACACTGTGGGTTAAGGCTTAAACATATGAATTCTAGGGTGACATAAGCATTCAATCTGCAATGCTAACCCATTATACAGCACTGTTGGCATTAAAACACACTGGTGCTTGCCCTTCTGATCTCACTATCTTCATAACAATTATAAACAACTGAAAACATATGTAAGATATAAATTTTTACTTTATACAAACTTCTGTAATTTGGAAGTTATATTAAAGAAAGGTAAAGAATCAAAAGCTGTGTTTTCTAAGTGGAAGAATATAACTGTTAGTATGTACTGAACAATAACAACGTTTTGATGACATTAGTATGTACTGAATAAGTTAGTATTTACTGAGCCCGCCTATATTTAAGGCATTATGCTGAGTGCTGGGGATTCCATGATAAGCAAGATACTGTCTACTCTCAAGGAATTCCCGAAATAGTGAGGGAACAATTACTTTACAGTATGACTAGTGCTGCTATAGAGTTAACATAGCGTGTTATAAAAATACGTAAAGCACTGATTCTAACTTGGAATTTATCATAGGATCTTGGTAAACCTAGTGCTGGCCTTTATTCACTATCAGTAAATAAAAGATGTATTAAATATATATGAAAGTAGGGAATGGGGGGCGGGAAGCTGTAGTTCTTAGTTCTCTTTAGGTACCATCTACTCCAGAAATCATCCTTGAATACTTAACTAAATATCCCTTCTCTGTGCATTCCTCTTAGTGTTTAGCACTTGCTTACTCCTGTCTCCCTCACTAGATTATAAGCTCTTTAGACACAGTCCTTAGTTGGAGTAAGTACCCAGTAAATATTGATTAGTGTTTATTTCAATCCCACCAGTTTGAAGACATTTTATTAACAGTTAATCATTTAAGCTATTTGACTGTTTAATTATTTTATTTCACTAATGGGTATTGGGAAGAAAACAAATTTATAATGAGGATTATAATGCAGGTGTTTATCCAAATATTGTATAATAATTTAAATCTTATATCTACCTCCTAAGAATACAAATTAACCTGACATAAATTGATTTTTTTAAGTCCCGCTCTAATAAGTTTACACACACACACATACACATACACACATAAACGAAAGACCAAGAAATTCATCATCCAAGTATAAGCCAAATTATATACTTAAAATTTGTATATAAGAATTACAAACATTTGGACACAAAACACAATAAAAAATTTTCACTGATACCTTTCCAGTTTAATATCCAGACCTGTTAGGGAGAAACAAAACAGAAATAGCTCACCATTCTCTTTTGAAATACCAGATTGAATTTGTAGCTTTGTTGAAAAAATACTAAAATATTAGTTTTATCTACTCTTTTACTTGTTCTTGAATGCATCACAAAGTTTTATCCTTAATTACCAAAATAATTCATGCTCATTAGATAATAGCAAGCAAAAAATATTACCCAGAACCCCATTACAGAGTGACAATGACTTTAAATACTGACATATTTCCTTCAGTCATTTATATAGTTATACATTTTAGCAGTTGATCATATTCTATATAATTTGAACTTTTTTTTACTTAACACAGCAGAAGATCCATTTTTCCAGGTCACTAAAAAATCATAACTGTAAATATCTTTTTTAATGACTGCATACCCAGTATATGGACATGCCGTTGCTTATTTGGCGATTCTCCTAACCTTGAACAGTTAGGTTATTTCCAAATTTTACTATTATAAATAATGTTATGATATATGCCTAAAATTGTCCACATTATCTCCTTAAGCTAAATTTATGGTTTTGGAAGCATTTAGATAAAAGAATATGAATATTTTACAGCTTTGATCCATAGGGCAGCATGATATTTTTATATCAAAGTGACCCCTGTAGTCCAGTTGATGGTATGTACTTGGATTGTGGGAATAGTAAGACTTGAATTTCCTTTTTGTGGTCAGCAGCTAATAACCCCTCTCACCATGGTAGTCCAGGCAGCAATTTTCTTCATATTCTGTCACAAATGGAGTACTAGCATTTTATGCATATTATTTCCCCTTTGGAAATGCTTTTACTTTAATTTTATGGTCATTTTGAGATTTTCTCAGAAATTTAAATGCTGTTTCTCTCCTTTAATATTTCACTTAAATTTTTTTCCACTCTGAATTACCTCTGTTTTAGGCCTCTTGGGATTCATTTTCATACTTAAGCAAATTATAAAACCTCTGCATTGTTTTAGGAGGCCAGGAGCATGAACTAATCTCTTATCAAAGTATATATGTCCAAGGTCTTTGTAAGACTTTTCTCTTTCAAGATCGTAAGGAGATGAAGAATTAAACAAATGTTGCATAAGATTCACACAGTTAGAGGAGAATCCTTTTTCTGGTTAGCTTATCCTTAAAAAAGGGGTCAAAGGGCAGAGCTAAGATGGTGGTGTGAGTAGAGCAGCAGAAATCTCCTCCCAAAACTATATATATTTTTGAAAATACAACAAATACAACTATTCCTAAAAGAGAGACCAAAGATACAGAACAATAGCAAGACTACATCTACACCTGCAAGAACCCAGCGCCTCACGAAGGGGGTAAGATACAAGCCGCAACCCGGCAGAACCTGAGCACCCTTCACCCCAGCTCCCCAGCGGGAGGAGAGGAGCCGGAGCAGGGAGGGAGAGGTAGCCCAACACTGCTAAATACCCAGCCCTAGCCATCCACA